ATTTATCTTGCGTGGTGCTTGTCTAGTCAAGCAAGTTGTTGCTATTGGCAGCTGGATGGTCCACATATCCATCACAGCCTGGTTGCAGGCATTTGGTGGAGATACTGACCAACTTTCCTTCTGCATAATTTTTCTAATAAGTGTGACCCTCTGCCCTTGTATTGCTTTGCCATGTTTTTCAGATAATAGTTTCTGTCCCGTCCCTGATACAGTAAGTCCTAGCCATAGCCAATTTCTGAAATAAAACTGAAGCCACTGGGTAAATTTTACTTTAATATTCTTGATTATCACTGTTTATTGCAGTATAACTGTAAAGTATGTACTATATAGCTATAAAGTATGTACTATATAGCTATAAAGTGTGTACTATATAGCTATAAAGTGTGTACTATATAGCTATAAAGTATGTACTATATAGCTATAAAGTATGTACTATATAGTTATAAAGTATATACTATATAGCTATAAAGTGTGTACTATATAGCTATAAAGTGTGTACTATATAGCTATAAAGTGTGTACTATATAGCTATAAAGTATGTACTATATAGCTATAAAGTGTGTACTATATAGCTATAAAGTATGTACTATATAGCTATAAAGTGTGTACTATATAGCTATAAAGTGTGTACTATATAGCTATAAAGTGTGTACTATATAGCTATAAAGTATGTACTATATAGCTATAAAGTGTGTACTATATAGCTATAAAGTATGTACTATATAGCTATAAAGTGTGTACTATATAGCTATAAAGTGTGTACTATATAGCTATAAAGTGTGTACTATATAGCTATAAAGTATGTACTATATAGCTATAAAGTGTGTACTATATAGCTATAAAGTGTGTACTATATAGCTATAAAGTGTGTACTATATAGCTATAAAGTGTGTACTATATAGCTATACAGTACAAAACTTCAGTACTTTTCTGCTATTTTTTAACATTTGATTGAACAGATCATCTGGGACTTTTCCCTATTAGTACTTTATGTACAGTGTTTACTGTATTTAGAAAATGATTGTTAATAAATACTTTTATTTGATAATTACATTATTACATACTGTACATTCCTAGAATTTACACAAAAATAGAAATACTTAAAGTAAACCCTCAATTGAATGTCCTCGTAGGTGGAGCAGGTGGCTAACATCGGTGATTGTGGTGGATAGAGATGAAATTGTTTTGCAGTGATTGTAAAAAAAGGAACAATTCTCTAATCAATGAACTAATTGTCCATTGTTTCCAAGTCAATTGACCCAGTGGATTTTGTCCCGTATTTCTGAAGTCATCATAAGAAGAGACTAAAATGCTGGGATCAGGGGGCTAGTAACCCCTTCTCCTGTATAAATTACTAAAAATAATAATAAAAGCTTTACATAAAGGTCGTCGTCCTTCATTGGTAGGAAAGAGCCGAATGTGTTAAAAAAAATCTATAGTGCATTTTGTCAAGGCCTGCTAAATTGGGGGTTTACTGTACTAACTTTATTTCCATTATTACAGGCAGTTTCCTTTAAAATCGAGCAGTGGCAGGCTCTTCATTGGGGGAGGGTGCAAGCAGACAGAGGACGGACTGGTCTCTATCACCCTCCTCACTTCCCTTGGTCATATTATCAGGTAGTGTAATACACATTTTTTTTTTTTTTATTATCACACCGGCCGATTCCCACCAAGGCAGGGTGGCCCGAAAAAGAAAAACTTTCACCATCATTCACTCCATCACTGTCTTGCCAGAAGGGTGCTTTACACTACAGTTTTTAAACTGCAACATTAACACCCCTCCTTCAGAGTGCAGGCACTGTACTTCCCATCTCCAGGACTCAAGTCCGGCCTGCCGGTTTCCCTGAATCCCTTCATAAATGTTACTTTGCTCACACTCCAACAGCACGTCAAGTATTAAAAACCATTTGTCTCCATTCACTCCTATCAAACACGCTCACGCATGCCTGCTGGAAGTCCAAGCCCCTCGCACACAAAACCTCCTTTACCCCCTCCCTCCAACCCTTCCTAGGCCGACCCCTACCCCGCCTTCCTTCCACTACAGACTGATACACTCTTGAAGTCATTCTGTTTCGCTCCATTCTCTCTACATGTCCGAACCACCTCAACAACCCTTCCTCAGCCCTCTGGACAACAGTTTTGGTAATCCCGCACCTCCTCCTAACTTCCAAACTACGAATTCTCTGCATTATATTCACACCACACATTGCCCTCAGACATGACATCTCCACTGCCTCCAGCCTTCTCCTCGCTGCAACATTCATCACCCACGCTTCACACCCATATAAGAGCGTTGGTAAAACTATACTCTCATACATTCCCCTCTTTGCCTCCAAGGACAAAGTTCTTTGTCTCCACAGACTCCTAAGTGCACCACTCACTCTTTTTCCCTCATCAATTCTATGATTCACCTCATCTTTCATAGACCCATCCGCTGACACTCCACTCCCAAATATCTGAATACGTTCACCTCCTCCATACTCTCTCCCTCCAATCTGATATTCAATCTTTCATCACCTAATCTTTTTGTTATCCTCATAACCTTACTCTTTCCTGTATTCACCTTTAATTTTCTTCTTTTGCACACCCTACCAAATTCATCCACCAATCTCTGCAACTTCTCTTCAGAATCTCCCAAGAGCACAGTGTCATCAGCAAAGAGCACTGTGACAACTCCCACTTGAGTTTTATAAAGTTTTCTTCTCTTTTTTTAGTAATTGTATACAGGAGAAGGGGTTACTAGCCCATTGCTCCCGGCATTTTAGTCACCTCATACGACACGCATGGCTTACGGAGGAAAGATTCTTTTCCACTTCCCCATGGACAATAGAAGAAATAAAAAAGAACAAGAGCTATTTAGAAAAAGGAGAAAAACCTAGATGTATGTATATATATATATGCATGTGCGTGTCTGTGAAGTGTGACCAAAGTGTAAGTAGGAGTAGCAAGATATCCCTGTTATCTTAGCGTGTTTATGAGACAGAAAAAGAAACCAGCAATCCTACCATCATGCAAAACAGTTACAGGTTTTTGTTTCACAGTCATCTGGCAGGACGGTAGTACTTCCCTGGGTGGTTGCTGTCTACCAACCTACTACCTCATTATCAACTATTTTTCCTGTTAGCATGTGCAGCACAGAATGTGCTTTATAGTAGCAAATTTGCAAATTAAATTTTTTTATAGTCAAAGTTTTTAATGATTTTTTTTATTTTTTAGGTTAAGGTTTTGGGCAATTTCTTGAGTTTGCCTTTTCCCAGGCACTGTATAACCTTTCAGTCCTTTCACTTGTACAGTAATATACGGATATCTTTGTAGTTTTGGAAAATAGTATGCTTATGCATTCACTCCAACTAGATGTCAAACCCTCAATACCACATGTCTCCACTCTGATCTTACATACTCTCATATGCCTGCTAGGTGCTCAAGCACCTCTCACTTAAAACCACCTTCAAACATTTCCTGGGATGCAGCCTGCACTCTTGTTTTACATCTGAGATTTATACACCCTCTTATAATAATAATTGTCCACATGCAAAATTGGATGATATTTATTATTGCAGAGAATTTCGGGTGAGCTTAAACCAAACATGAGATTAAGTGAGCAATAAATATTTTCATATAGTACAGTATGTATATTCCTTACATTCTGAAAGAGCAAGCCACCTCAACACTCCTCCTGCTTTCTGAATTATGCCTTTCAAACCACCGCTCTGTCTTCTAATTTCTTCTCTCTTGATTCTCCAGGAGGGCCCCACATATACAGCATCATTTTGGTGTTCACATTTTTGTTGCCTTCAAACTGAGCCATTGTTCATTATGTTCCACCCACCGGTGATAGTCACCGACGGATGGAACAGTTGAAAGCCAGTGAAAGTGTGGAACATGGAAAATAAGTGCTGTATATGCGTGGTCCTCCATATTTCCTAATTTTTATTTTCTGTGTCATTATAAGGAATTTTTCACCTGTGCAGGATGGAGAACATTGACTGTGAAGCTCTGTGTGATGGCCTTCGTCTGGGAAACAAAGAAAATCTAAAGTGTCTTGAAGAACAAATGGTGCTGTCATTAGATGATATGAACCTGGGAGGCTTGCAGGTAATATTAATTATTGATAACATTTTTAGATAATGCAATTTCCCACCATGATAGGGTGACCCATCACTTGTTCAGCAGCTGTCTTGTCAGTCAGGGGCAGCTCTAGAATTTGTATATAGAAGGGGCAGAAAGGTGGCAGTCGGGTTGAAAAGGGGGAGGAGGGAATGAGTCTTCAGGGTTATTTTTTTTTATTTAGTAATTTATACAGGAGAAGGGTTTACTAGCCTCTTGCTCCCAGCAATGAATGTATGTAATGAGACAGTTATCGTTGGAAAAAGAGACACAAGTGTAGTATTGGGATTGGTTGGTATTGACTTTTGATAGTTTTGTACTGGCAACAGTATTGGTAGTGATGGGTATATGCTAATGTTGATGGTATTGATATTGGCCAGATTTTGGTGTTGCCCCTTAACTATTCAAAATTAAATTTTTCTGCAGGTGTTGAGTGCCGGATATGTCGGTAATAATTCTTGGATTTGGTGTGGCACTGTTGTGGGTGCCACATTATGGACACCAGTGAGTCTGTATGATGCTTGCCAGTCCTGCACCTGGCACCTCACTCACGGCCCACAGTGCTCTCGCATCATTCCCATTTGTGATAGTAGGTCAGTATTTAATGTATTTTCGAGTTTCATTTTGCTAGTGTTATGACTCACGAAACTGTAATAACAAGATTGCCAACAAACCATGGAATGGGTGGAGATTGAACTTGTGGAAAGTGTGTAAGCCACTTAAGTAACTTATGCACTGCTGGAACAAGTGTAGAAGTCTTCAAGAGGAAACTGGACAAATGTCTTCACCAGGTGCCAGATCAACCAGGCTGTGATGGATATGTGGGGCAGTGGGCCACCAGCAGCATAAGCAACCTGGTTGACCAGGCTAAGTACCAGACAAGCCTGGTCCAGGACCAGGCTCTGGGAGTAGAAAGACTCGAAACTCATCCAAGACATGTCATAGGTAAAGGTGTGACCTGGAGTTTTAGGGCTCACTTCCCATGAGTTCAATCCCTACCTGTTCCGTGGTTTGCTGGTACATATTATCCTTGTCATTTCTGTTCCACAATTTCATTGAAGTGTGTGTTTTAAATGTTTAAAGTTCACTCATTTTTCTATTATGAGCAGAGAATGGGCATTTTTTTTTTTAACTTGATGGTCATCTGCCAAGGCAGGAGAAAACACATTCATCATCATTCAGTCAGTGTCTTTCACATGACTAAGACCCGTATCAGGAAACGCTTGTCCCGTTTCCTGACATACCTTACCTAACCTAACCATCTTTTCAGAAGTGTGCTGACTTCACACACTACCTTCTGACTGCCCTTCTTCAGAGTGCAAGCACACTGTCCTTTCCACCTCCAGGTTTCAAGTCTGGCAAAATTGAATATGATACCTGGGTTGCAGTGTACTTCAGCACTGGATAATTCAGTAGTTTTGAGAGAGCCACAGAATTTGGTTAACACAAGCCTATCTGATATTATCCTGACACCAAATGACTTCGAACAGGCGATAAATGACATGCCCATGCACTCTGCCTCAGGGCCAGACTCATGGAACTCCGTGTTCATCAAGAGCTGCTAGAAGCCCCTATTACGAGCTTTTACCATCCTATGGAGAGGGAGCATGGACACGGGGGTCGTCCCACAGTTGCTAAAACCAACAGACATAGCCCCACTCCACAAAGGGGGCAGTAAAGCAATAGCAAAGAACTACAGACTGATAACACTAACATCCCATATCATAAAAATCTTTGAAAGGGTCCTAAGAAGCAAGATCGCCATCCATCTAGATACCCATCAGTTAAACAACCCAGGGCAACATGGGTTTAGAGCAGGTCGCTCTTGTCTGACTCAGCTACTGGATCACTACGACAGGGTCCTAGATGCACTAGAAGACAAAAAGAATGCAGATGTAATATATACAGACTTTGCAAAAGCCTTCAACAAGTGTGACCATGGCGTAATAGCGCACAAAATGCGTGATAAAGGAATAACAGGAAAAGTTGGTAGATGGATCTATAATTTCCTCACAAACAGAACACAAAGAGTAGTAGTCAACAGAGTAAAGTCTGAGGCGGCTACAGTGAAACGCTCTGTTCCACAAGGCACGGTACTCTCTCCCATCTTGTTTCTCATCCTCATATCTGACATAGACAAGGATGTCAGCCACAGCACTGTGTCTTCCTTTGCAGATGACACCCGAATCTGCATGACAGTGTCTTCCATTACAGACACTGCAAGGCTCCAGGCGAACATCAACCAAATCTTTCAGTGGGCTGCAGAAAACAATGTGAAGTTCAACGATGAGAAATTTCAATTACTCCGATATGGTAAACATGAGGAAATTAAAACTTCATCAGAGTACAAAATAAATTCCTTCCACAAAATAGAGTGAAAAACCAACGTCAAAGACCTGGGAGTGATCATGTCGGAGGATCTCACCTTTAAGGACCATAACATTGTATCAATCGCATCTGCTAGAAAAATGACAGGATGGATAATGAGAACCTTCAAAACTAGGGATGCCAAGCCCATGATGACACTCTTCAGGTCGCTTGTTCTATCTAGGCTGGAATAATGCTGCACACTAACAGTACCTTTCAAGGCAGGTGAAATTGCTGACCTAGAAAATGTACAGAGAACCTTCATGGCACGCATAACGGAGATAAAACACCTCAGTTACTGGGAGTGCTTGAAGTTCCTGAACCTGTACTCCCTGGAACACAGGCGGGAGAGATACTTGATTATATACACCTGGAAAATCCTAGAGGGACTAGTACCGAACTTGCGCACGAAAATCACTCACAATGAAAGCAAAAGACTCGGCAGACGATGCAACATCCCCCAATAAAAAGCAGGGGTGTCACTAGCATGTTAAGAGACAATACAATAAGTGTCAGGGGCCCGAGACTGTTCAACTGCCTCCCAGCATACATAAGGGGGATTACCAATAGACCCCTGGCAGTCTTCAAACAGGCACTGGACAAGCACCTAAAGTTGGTACCTGACCAGCCAGGCTGTGGCTCGTACGTTGGATTGCGTGCAGCTAGCAGTAACAGCCTGGTTGATCAGGCTCTGATCCACCATGAGGCCTGCTCACAGACCGGGCCGCGGGGGCGTTGACCCCCGGAACTCTCTCCAGGTAAACTCCAGGTAATAAAGCTTCACTTAGATTTAGAGATTTTGATTAATATTTGAAACTCGTAGATTTTTGTTTGAATAAAAGTTCTAATTTCAATTTTCATCTGGTTTGCTGAGTAATATACACACATGGATGTCATAGTTGTCACATCATATAACCTTAATATACACAAATGTATGTCATAGATGTCATATGTGATATGAGTTAACTAATCAGGTGTGTAGTTGTTGGGCTTTCTTCATAGGGAATAGGAGAAAGTGTATTGGGAATGTCACCTCCCTTCCCTCTCATCATTCTGTTAGATGTCATTTATTCTGAGATTTATTTAATCTCTTGTTTTACAATATGTTGGTTTTTAATGGACGTGCTGTTGGAGTGTGAGCAAGATGACGTTTGTGAAGGAATTCAGGGAAACTGGTTAGCCAGACTTGAGTCCTGGAGGTAGGACTAGCAGAACCTGCACATTGAAGGATGGGTGGGGGATTTTGCAGTTAGAGGATAATTTAAACTGTGATATCTGCATATAACTGGAAATACAGGGAGTTAATGAATGAAGGTGAACGTATTTTCTTCCATTGTCATCCTGCTTTTGTGGGAGATGGCCATTGAGAAGAAAATGAATAATAATAATATCTTTTTTGGATCACCCTGCCTCGGTGGGAAATGGTCATTGTGTTAAAAAATAATAATCTTTGTGCCTGTACATTAATGAAGTTATTTATTTTAGGTATGTTGTAACACTAAACTCTGCTGGTCAACTGGAAGTGCTTTGTTGTGTGACAGGAGTAACTGTTTGGGAAAATGAGAGTGATGACACACCAATTCTGGACATTGCCTACCTCCATGGTGACGAACACAACGCTCAGTTCCTGCTTCTTCTCAAGAACCCAGATTCTGATGGATGTCTACTACGTATTACCTCATTTCCAGGTTCTGATCCAAGTCATGCACTTGTTTATTTTCTTTTACCACAGTGGCGATCTCCTACCAATAAAGGAAACACCTTCACCATAAGTCATTCAATAGCTGTCTTGCCAGACGTGCACAGACATCACAGTTCAAAGGACCCTCTGCATTGAAGCACCTCCGGCTTTCCTTTTTACCTCCTAAATTCAATTCCACAGAAAAGGTTTTGCTATATCCCTTCATAATTGTTATCTTGCTCACACTTCAACAACACATCAAATCATAAAAAAAAAACTACTTGCCTTCACTTGCTCCAATTCAGTGTGCTTACACAAGCCTGCTGGATGCTCAATCTGCTTGTACTCAGAACCTCCAACCTCTCCTGGAATGCCCCCTCTTTCCCTTCTTTCCACCCCAGAATTATTCACCTTGGTCATCCTCTTCTCCAACCAATCTAAAAACCAAACCACCTCAACATTCCCTTGTCCTTCCTCTGATTTATACCATTGGTAACCCCAGGTAGTGATTTGAGTTGTGATGTGTATGCACTTGTAGCAAAACAAATATTGAATAATGGTGAATGTGTTTCTTTTGGGTTGTCCAAAGTCTTAATTGTGTTTTTTCTGTTCCACAACTCTGTTGCACTCATGCATTAAGAGTATGCTGATACTGTGTTTCACTTGTCCATCAAAAAGCTGACAGTGTCAGCTTACTGATGTTTCATCATAATTGTAAATGCTGTACTAGCATTGTGTCTCTTCCATTAAAAGTTATCAAATATCTACTGTGATTTTATAATGACTTTTTTTTTCAGAATTTTCGACTATCTATGAGTTGGCTGTGAACAGCAGCACAAGTTTAGTGCTGACAGGTGAAGGAACAGAATCTATAATGTTTCTAGAGCCAGATGTTAGTCCTGTCAGCCAGCTCACTCGGTGTCTCAAACTCAAGAGTATTGTGGATGGTATACCTGAGGCAAGGTGAGTCTTATGCTGTATGTGATTAAATTATATGTATCAGATCAACCAGGCTGTGATGGATGTATGTGGGGGCAGTAACAGCCTGGTTGAGCAGGCTAGCACCAACCGAGCCTGGTCCATGGCCAGGCTTCGGGAGTAGAAAAACTGTCAGAACTCATCAAGGGTATGGCACATGTGCATGTGGAAGCTAGACTAGTCATGGTTTCTGAGACTCATTAGTATAATCCTAAAAGAATTGACCATTAGAATAAAACTTAATCACACTTGTCTAGACAAAGATGAAATAATAAAAAACTGGTTAGTACAGGGTCTCCTTGACTCTTGACAGGATTACATTCCGATGAATCCATCGTAAATGGAAAATGAATGTGATGTGCTAAATAAATGTCAATAAATAATTACTATCACCGAATAAATAAATAATTACTCTTACTTAGTACCAGTATTGAAAAGTAAATAAATGAATACAAGTTACAGACTTACCACCTTCATTCTGGGTAATTATCTCTAGGTTCATCCTCAAAGTAGTAATTGCTTTTGCACCATTGTAAAATTGAAATATCCAAAGTCGAATCACCATAAGTCGAGCACCTGTACTGTTTTTTGTCTGCCCAATATTAGGCTTACTGAAGTTCTCGTGTATTTTTGTTTTAATTTTTTTTTTTTTTCAGGCTGGGAAAACTTCTGATGAAACGCAAGTTCAAGGAAGCTGAAGAATTTTGTGTTCGATTTGGACTAGACATCGAAGAGGTTCATAAGGCACGAGCAAAGTTTTTGTGTGACTTGATGAACCCATGGAATATATCAGCTACTAATATTACTCTGATTGATGTGGATGGAAGCGGAAGGTAGGTTCATGTTAGGTTGGATAGGTTGTAGACTACAGGATTTGTAGCCTCTCAATTGATGCTGGTGTAGTTGGGTTTTCCTGTCCCAATCATGTTTCCCATGACTACCGCTTGGAGGAGCTGTGCCCATAGACCTGTGCTATTGCCTGGTGGCCGTAGGCCTACCTTCAGCTTACCCTGTGACACCCTCTGTCTTTCTCACTCTGCTACCTCAGCCTGTGAGTAGGAAGTCCCACTCCTCTCTCCTGTAACTGGAGTTCAGCAGTTGGGCCCCAGGGCAAGCTAAGACAAGCACTGCCTATACCAAGAACACCAACAAATCTACATTATGCCTCTTAATTCACCACAACCATTTTGATTGATATACTGGTGAAGGGCTCTTGTGTGTGAATCTTTCTTTCTTTCAACGCACCAGCCGTATCCCACTGAGGTGGGGTGGCCCACAAGGAAAGACGAAAGTTTCTCCTTTTAAATTTAGTAATATATATACAGGAGAAGGGGTTACTAGCCCCTTGCTTCCAGCATTTTAGTCGCCTCTTACGACACGCATGGCTTACGGAGGAAGAATTCTGTTCCACTTCCCCATAGAGATAAGAGGAAATAAATAAAAACAAGAACTAGAAAGAAAATAGAAGAAAACCCAGAGGGGTGTGTATACATATGCTTCTACATGTATGTGTAGTGTGACCTAAGTGTAAGTAGAAGTAGCAAGACGTACCTGAAATCTTGCATGTTTATGAGACAGACAAAAGACACCAGCAATCCTGCCATCATGTAAGACATTTACAGGCTTCCGTTTGATACTCGCTTGGCAGGATGGTAGTACCTCCCTGGGTGGTTGCTGTCTACCAGCCTACTACCTAGAATAATAATAATAATCTTTATTATAGGTAGTAGGTTGGTAGACAGCAACCACCCAGGGAGGTATTACCGTCTTGCTAAGTGAGTGTAAAACAAAAGCCTGTGTTTGTTTTATGTCTTGTTGCTACTTCTACTTACACTTGGGTCACACTACACATACATGTACAAGCATATATATACACACCCCTCTGGGTTTTCTTTTATTTTCTTTCTAGTTCTTGTTCTTGTTTATTTCCTCTTATCTCCATGGGGAAGTGGAACAGAATTCTTCCTCCATAAGCCATGCGTGTTTTAAGAGGCGTCTAAAATGCCAGGAGCAAAGGGCTAGTAACCCCTTCTGTACAAATTACTAAATTTAAAAAGAAAAACTTTTGTTTTTCTTTTTGGGCCACCCTGCCTTGGTGGGATGCAGCCAGTTTGTTGAAAAAAAAAGAAATCTTTATTTCTACAAATACATGTACAAGACATACAAATCATAGCTGACATCACTGGCATACTACTATATAGAAAGTCCCTTGTTATGCAGAGCATTCTGGGCAAAATTTTATTCCAAGGATGTGACCCACACTAGTTGACTAATGCCCGGGTACCTATTGTACTGCTAGGTGAACATGGACAGCAAGTGTTTTAAGGAAATACATCCTAATATTTCCACCCATACCGGGGATCGAACCACGGACTTCCATGTGCAAGCTGAGTGGGCTAGCAATTGATCTATGGGACACCTATCAACATCCAGGGTCCCAGACTTTTCAACATCTTACAAGAAGATATCAGAAACACTGCTGGAACGAGTGTTGAAGCATTCAAGAGGAAACTAGACAAGTATCTTCACCAGGTGCCAGATCAACCAGGCTGTGATGGATATGTAGGGCAGCGGGCCTCCAGCAGCAACAGCCTGGTTGACCAGGCGAGCACCAAATGAGCCTGGCCCATGGCCGGGCTCAGAGAGTAGATATACTCTTGAAATTCTTCAAAGGTAAAGGTATATATCGCCCCAAAGTAATAATGATGATAATAATAATTGACTGGACTAAAGTCATAGAGGTTGTGGGAAATGGCTCGTGTGACAATAAGATTATATTATTGATAATAAGTAATTCTTTTCATTGTTTCAGTCTAAGTGAAGAGCTGTTTCTGACCCTAGATAAGATCCACGACTCTGAGTTTGTCACTACCCTCTGTATCGAGGCTCCTTTACCTGATTTAATCATCACAAAAAAGAATCTCAACTATGCCAAAGAACGTCTTGCCAAAATAACTCAGGTACAGTACCCTCTAAATGATTTTTTTTTTTTTTCAACGCACCAGTCATCTCCCACCAAAGCAAGGTGACCTAGAAAGAAAAATGAAAGCTGTTCTTTTTACATGAGAATTGCCTGTATTCTAATGTTTTATGAGAATTGACTGTACGTATTCTTGTTTTATGAGAATCGACTGTATTCTAATGTTTTATGAGGCTTGACTGTATTATATTAATCTCCAGGGTTTGTTCCCTGGACCTCAGCAATGAGAGTGGCCACTCTCATTGCTGAGGTCCAGGTAACAAACCCTGGAGATTAACATAAACATTGACTGTATTATAATGTTTTATGAGATGACTGTATTCTAATGTTTTATGAGAATTGACTGTATTCTAATGTTTTATGAGACTTGATTGTATTGTTTTATGAGAATTGACTATATTCTAATGTTTTATGAGAATTGACTGTATTCTAATGTTTTATGAGACTTGATTGTATTGTTTTATGAGAATTGACTATATTCTAATGTTTTATGAGAATTGACTGTATTCTAATGTTTTATGAGACGACTGTATTCTAATGTTTTATGAGAATTGACTATTCTAATGTTTTATAAGGATTGACTGTATTCTAATGTTTTATGAGACTTGATTATATTCTAATGCTTTATGAGACTTGACTGTATTCTAATGTTTTATGAGGATTGACTGTATTCTAATTAACAGTTGACTGTATTCTAATTAACAGTTGACTGTATTCTAATTAACAGTTGACTGTATTCTAATGTTTTATAACAGTGGACTGTATTCTGTTTTATAAGAGTTGACTGTATTCTAATGTTTTATAGTAGTTGACTGTATTCTAATGTTTTTTTAACTGTTTTAGTCTGAGGAAAGTGAGCAGTTAAGCAGTCTGATGCAGCGAGTGAGTGAGAGTGCTTACCGTCTCCGAACCTTTGAGATCATCTTCCCGTCTTCGGATATACAACACTGGCTCGCTTTCTCCCATACTGACATGCTTGAGGAGTTTATTGAACACCTGAGCAGGGTAAGTTGTGACCTTGGGCCGGCTGCACCAGTAGGCCTCTCAAAAACAGTCATAGATATTTTGGGCATACTAGGAAGTATACACGTGCTAGTCGACTAACGATGGGGTTACGTTTCGATGAACCCATCTTAAGTTGAAAATATCACAAGTCAGTTTTTTTTTTTTTTATACACAAGGCAGGGTGACCCAAAAAGAAAGAAA